TCAAAAGGCTGAATGGTTTAAGACATCAAGTTCACAATTAGCTTGGTGAATTTGATTGTATTCAACTAAGGAAAGTTCAAAATCATAAGCCAACTATCTTGATGCTATAACTTGTCATATGCACTTTTTTGTTAGAGTCTGCATATCATTTGAATTATGTATGCATATTTTGAATTTTCATTCATGTGGGGATTGTTGGAATTGTTTAAGTATAAAAATGGGAATGTGACTTTCGAATCAACTCGGCCAACTATTAAGACTAGATCCAATGGTCAAATTACTAATATAAATAGACTAACTGGTTCTACTCATTGACTAGATCGTCGTGGTATATTGGAATCTCAAACAACTTTGACGCTCACCTAACGCTAGTCTACACTCGAGCAATGAGGCTGTCGCTCAAGCGATAAGCCAACCGCAGATGAGCAATAGGCTCGCTATTTTTGACGCTCGAGCAAGGTAAAAGTGACAAGCGAGCAACAACAAAAGCTATGACAATCGGCAAAGGTTGTTGAGTTTGGGTCATCTCTTTACTCATAACCTCTCCCCCTCTATAAGTAGGACCCTTGGGACATCCATTTCTTCATCCCAATGATATGCATTCATAGTATAACATTACTTTCTTCTTTCTCTAGCAAAATTCTACATAAACTTTGCATAAATTCTAGTTTTCTTTTGTTCATTCTAAAAGGAGTACAAAATTCAATTTTGGCTTGCCAATCTTGTGTTTTGGAGTGCTAATAATACAAGATGATAGTCGTTATATCTTGAGAGTTTATTGTCATCATCCGTAGGTATTGTTGCGGGCAAAATCGACTTAAGGACAAAGAACTCAACTCTTACTGCAATTCCAAGTAGGTCAGCCTGAGATTTTTTTGTGCCCAGTTTAATATTTTTAAATGATGCCCTTTATATACATATATGGCATTTAAATATTTATTTTTTCTTTTACATGTTGTGAATAATAAAAGTACAAGTAAATCTCAAAGGCACATCCCGAACTTCATCAAAATGCATGTCATCAAAAAAGATCTATCCAAGCACCTGACCTCTTTGTATAATTCCATATTGACATAATATAAATTGAATATTATATCGTATCAGTTATCACCCAGTAAAAATTAATATTCTATAACTTAAAAAAATTCACGAAATAGCAATTAACAAGTGAACAAAATGCACCAATAAAATGGTGATATTGCGATGTAGATTGTATCATTTTAGAGCATGCAACAAAATTGACAATAGAGTTTTTTCTCTCCTCTGTTAAGACTATTCTTCATGGGTGAAAGGGTGAGGAAGAGAAAAATGGCGAAAAGAAATCTTAGGTTAGCTTTTCACTTTTCACTTTAATCATTTGGATTTTGGGCTACTTATTGTCTTGTTGGGTTGGTAGTTGATTAATAAAGCTAATTGGACTTTTGGAAATGGGTTGGTAAAATAGATATTTTAAAATATCTTTTTATTTTCGGAAGCAAGATAGTTTAAAATTAGAAAAAATAAATAATTTCTTTCAATAATATGTTAAAGAAAAAAAAGTAACATAATATAATTATTTTTAATTCATTTTTGGTAAAAATTGTGCCCTTTAACTTAACATAATAATAAAAAGTTAAAAAAATTTATATATATATATATATATATATATACACACACACACATATAGACACACACACGCGCGCGCACGCACAGGATCCCCCTATAACAAAACATTCTTTAGTGCCCCTACAAAATTGAAGCCCTAGGCGATCGCTCAACTCTCACCCTCACATGGCCATCTCTGATTGCAAGGAAAAGATAATAATATCCCCGTCAGCAGCATACCTCGTGAAGCAGGTGATGTGAAACCTAGGGCAGCAAAAACAATAGTGACAATTGCTTGAATTTCATCACCAACCATCACACATAGTAGCTTAGAATGATTTGATTCTCTGAATATGTCACCAACCACAAGTTTCCACCCAGAGAGCTCATCGTTCTTCTGTGCCTGAGCTTCTCTATTCAATTCCTCATACCTTGTCAAACCTCATCATACCTTGTCAAATCTCATCTCACTGTTCTCAAAAAATTGACAAAAACATACCTGACAAGAAGAAAATCACCATCAACGAGTTCAAAGTTGAGAACTAGAAAGTAGCTTATATTCGTAAAATTGAGACTTTTGGAGCTCTTGTGGGCAGCTTATATTCGTAAAATTGTCATACTTGCGAAGTTGTGCTATCATCTCACTCTCAAGGTAGGGGAAGATTTAGGAAATCGAGAGAGTTAGGGCGACTGTTGACTGTTGACGACCACGTTAACGAGATTATTTATTAAATTTAATTGAATATTATTTAAAAATATTTAATTGAATAATATTTTAATTTGGATAATTAAAAATATAATCCAATACAATCCAAAATAATTTTTAAAAAATCATTTTTTTTAATCATATACGTACGATCAAGTTTCAAGTTTTTAAGGACGTACGTAAAGCATGATTAAAAGGTAAATACAAGTCCCAAACTTATGCGAAACTTATGCAAAATAAATCAATGATTTTTATAACTATTTTTTACCTTAAAAAAAAAGAAAAAAGAAAAAAAATGTTTTTCAAACTCTTAAAAGAATAAAGAACAGTACTTAGATTGTCCAAATTTAAATTTTACAATATAAATTAATAAAGCCTAACAATAAAAGTATATGCTATGCATAGTTATCATAACCGACCGACTTGTTGATTGGACAAATCATCGAGTCAGTGGTTCAATCAATGAATCATTGCAATGTCAAAATTTAGTTAAAAAATAATTTTTAAAACAAGGAGTCTATTACATTGACAAAACCAAATATATTTTCTTGTCCCATAAGTTGCGATTAATCATCAATTGCAATAGTGGTAAGCTCTTAATTATCACATACTCACAGGTTCCAATCCAATCCATTACAATTGTGATAAAAAAATTTGCTTTGAGCAGTTTGGTAGCTAAAAAATTAAAAGGAGTGGAGGTTCATGGAATCAAACCCCGTGCCTCTCGTATGCAAAGCAAGCGCTCTACCATATGAGCTAAACGACCTGGTGTTGGCTCGCTCCCTGTCTCAGGGTCTTATTTATTCTGCAAAGAACAATCTCATACCCAGAAGCTGTCTTATTATCAGCTTCCAAAATGACGCACATACCTTATTGCTCAGTACCAATGATATCCACACCAGCTCCGTCATACTCATAAATCAGACCTGTGGGTGATTGATGATGTAATCATCCTTACTGTTTGATGGAGTGCAGCCAACTGGAAACCTAGTCCATTGAATTTTTACTTCACTTAGGTTGGTCAACCTTATTGCTGGCAAATTGTCCAAAATCATGTTCACTGATACAGGTCTCGAGTGTCAAATTATGTAGTCTAATTATTGCCGATCTTAATTATTACCACTTTGCAGATCGACCTCCCTATGAGGTGACCATGGGGATTGGAATGGGAGCAGGAGGCCCCCCCTCTCAAGGAATCTGGGGCTTGGACCAAAATTTAATCTAAAGATTGTTGAGGAATTTGCATTCTTGTAAAATTTTATTAAGGAATTAGAGTCTTAGTATAATTCGATTTTGCCCTAATTTAACAAACAATTTTTTGGCCTTACTAGACAAGGAACAGAAACAACATTGTTCGATCTGCCTGTTATGATTTTCTCTTGAATAAATTTCTCTTAGTAGATCCCTTCTTATTTGGGAACAGTCTTATGCTTTATTATAATCATAAAAAAAAAAAGAGAGAGGCTAGAGAAGATAGGAGTGCAATTTTCTCTTGTCTACATTTTTTCATCATAGTAAATTACTGCAAGGAGAGGATGTAATCTCACATTGAAGCGAATCTCTATAAATCTAGGGTGTTCTTAAGTGTTTATTTTTATTTCTTTGAATTGATTGCTTACGGTGAAATAGAATTAGAGTTTATGTATTTGTGTTTTCTCTTTTGAATTTGAAGAACACTAAAGTAAATGAATATGATTAGAGACTTCTCAATAACTCTGTCAATATGGAATGATTTCTTTGTTTGATGGTTTTATTATGCCTTTAAGAATGAAATCTATCTCCTATTTATAAATTATTATTCATACACCACGAAAAGATTTCAATGGTTCATGAAAATGATAATTTTTTTTCATGAAAATGTGCTAAAATATGGACCAAAACTTTAAATCCTAGTTGTCGAAAAATTGGCTTGGACGATCACCTTTGGTCACTGGTGATCAATAACAAGGCTAGGGCCGATTGTCCAGGCCAAAATTTTGGCTCCTCCGCTTTCCTTCGCGTTTGCTCGCGGTGTTTTGATTGAATTCAAAGTTTGAGAAAATAATTTAGTATTTGATTGATGTATATGTTTAACAGACTCCATGCCTAGATATATCCTCACATCATTTTAAGCCAACTGGAACCATAGTTTGTGTATGAAAATGATAGGTATTTTTCCACAACTTTCTTATTCCCATTGTTTCGCTTTCATGTTTAAATGCACTTTTCATTTACCATTCTTTGAGCACGACGACAGATTGATGATCTGGAATTCTTAATGGCATCAAACATTCTCGGATCATTTACAATTTTGGATATTTATTTTGAAATCTTGATTGTTAGGTAGCCTTAGTTTGGTTCTTTGTATAGACTACTCTTGAATCAAGATTTAGTAAAAATGTGGAGGGGCTTGTACCTCCTTCGATATTAGTTTGCTGGGTACCTATAATTCCTCAATATTTCATTAGATCATTTGATTTGATTTATGTGTTTGAATTTTTGGAACGAAATATTAAAAATGTCAATTAAAATTTCAATCGACATGGTCATGGACGACGGATTACCAGGAAAAAAAAATCCTATTATTAACAAGAAAATCACATGGAGTACCAAAAGATGAAACAATAAAAAGAAAACACAAACTTTTTCATCCATAGAAAATTCAATCGACCATACTGAACATATATCCACGTTTTATTAAGAGAAACACATTTTACGCCCTTTATTACCACTAGGAGGCTGCAATTTTCTCGAACTCACCCAATCTATTTTCAGCGAGTCTCGACCTGTAAGCTGATTTTTTGTACTCTAACCACGTGAACTCTTGGTATAAACTGTCTTCTCCTTTCATCAGTGACGGTAATGGAGCTATCTTTTTGCACAAAGGTGGTCCTCCAAAATAAATCATTGAAAGTCTGGATTTTGATTTGTTGGCTACAACTCTATGCCTTACACTCTTAAACATCCCATTGGTCATAACCTGCACAAAAACACATGAAAAAGGATTAATAGTGAAAGTCCATCAAGCAATTTCGTAAACACTACAGCCATTAGCTGACAGCCTGACAGTGACTTCCAAAACATTCTTGTCGAAGTGTCAGTCAAGAGTCGGTTCAGTAGCCAACAAGCGTCGGTCTCATAGGGAAATAATTAGTCAAACTTCAAAGTCATGCCTACGGTTAAAGAAAAATTCTCTACTGTTGGTCTTACTCTGACGTTAACAAACAATGACTTTCTTCATGACAAATATCAATAGTTAAAACTAATTTGAATATCAAAACTGGTTAGGTTATACATGTACCTGTAATGAGTCGCCAACATTAATGAAGAATGAAGTTTGATCAGGAGGGATTGAAACCCAATTGCCATCTTTCAATAAGATTTGAAGACCAAAAGTGTTGTTAGATCTCAAAACAGATATGATTTGTGGATCAGTGTGTTCGCCAAAACCAATCAAATTTCCACCCTTAAACTGATCGTCAAGGCATGGAGGGTAATGATTAAGCCTGAAAACAGAGTCACTCTCTTCATTCATAACAAGCTTATTGAATGTATTTCTTGGTTGAATCTTCAGCCCTTCAGCCAACATTTCGAGAATCTCACAAGCCATTTTCTTAACAAATGACACATAGTCATTCATGGTACAACTTCAAACACATAAAGAAAAACAAAACGAGTAAGAAAATCGACAATTTACTGAACTAGACAGTATCATCGAGTAAGTTACTGAAAAGTCTCTTGGGATTCGCCGGAAATTGATGCAAATTTTTGGTTGTTGAAATCTGTATTGGTTGTTAAGAAAATGTACTCAAACCAACCAACATATCCATTGGACCCAATTTTTTTGTTGCCATAGCCAAAAGGGTCAGGAGGACCTGCTTTTTCTTTTTCAGGGAGAGGTGAAGAGAAGAATTGAATAGCTAGAGATTCTAATTTGGTTATGGATTCAATTGGGACACTATGATTGATGACCTTAAAGAAACCAAATTCTGGGCAAGCCTTGACAAGAAGGCTGTTTACGTTGGGCTTCGAGAGGTCTATCAATGGTACACCATGGAATAATGTGTTGTTAACTAGAGATAAGTGTTCAATAACAGCTGGTTTGGACAAGACAACCATTGGCGAAGTTTTTAAGGTTTTGAAATGATAAGAATGAATTTGAGGGTAATGATATTTGTGCTGTAGAAGGATATCAGTTTGTTATATACTAGGTTTTGTATGATCAATGAGATGGAGCATACATGGCTCAGATGCTGCTTACATATTTTTTAAGGCATTTTGGAGAGATATGTGAGTATAGTATTCAACATTATTCAAAACTTGAATTAAGTCTGAATCAAAATGTTTTTGTCATGAAACTATTGGATTTAAGACCGACACTCAATATTTGTTTCCAAGCATTTAATGTCTCCTACATAGTTGAATTAATAATAGTTTTTGAAAATCATTAAAGAAACTATGGCCCATTTGAGCCATATTCCTTAAAAAAAAAAAAAAAAAAAAAACTTTTTTAAAAAATGTTTTTATATTTTTTTAACTACACTTTTTTAAAAAAATATTACAC